TGGCGAGCTCTTTGGCTTCGAGCTTGGGACCTATTCAGAAAGCCCGCTAGGCCGGTAGTCGGCTGCGTTATCTGGTGGGTTGCGTTTGTTATCATCATATTTTTTGCTGGTTAGTTTTGTTGGTGTCGGTTCAATGCCTGACAGGCATCGCAAAAACAGAGTCTGCCAAAGCCTGGCCATGGATTATCGAGCGGGATAACCAAACGGTTGTCCTAGTGGAAACGGATGGTGGCAAGAAGCCCATGAGTGTTGCAGAAGTTGCGTTTGTCGCAGCCCAGAAGCATGGCATCACCTCATTGAATCTGGTCGAGCGCAACATGTCTCATAAAACTGAGGCTATGGTGTGCGGTGCAGGTTTTAAAGGGTGCGTGTGCTCATGAGAGCGTGAGTTTTCATTCAATCAGCTTCACCAGGCGACTACAGGAGAGCCAATTAACTTCCGCTTTGACGTCGCTCCCAAAACGAAAGTCTCTGCGCCGACTCCGAACGCCCTCCCCACCAACACCGAGATGATGGCGATTCGCTCCACGTGGATGGGAGCCTGTTTCCGCAACCAGCTAACAAAAGTGCCATGCAGCAGCATGGGGCGAATTCCATGGGAGGTTGCTCTCATGTAATTCGACACGTTTTTTGTTTGCATTCATTCTCCAACGTCTCCACCTCCAGACATTTTTTTTGCATTTGGTCTTTTGAACGTGAGCTGTAAAATGTTGAGTTGTGTTGGGAGATGAGGTGAAAATCGAGACCTCCGTGCCAGCAAAGTTGGTGGCACTGAAACCCAAATTTTGGCTACTTGGAAATCTTTCCATTTCATCGCAGCATGCGGTGAAAATTTCAACTGCCTAGACTCAGTCTGCAATTCAGCAGGGGTGGAACCAGAAAGTAACAAGCTAGTTACTTAGTGCCGATTCCATTTCTTTACAGAACGTATGACACGATTGAAATGTTGTTGTCGTTTGAATATGTTTGTGCCTGTGATGCCCTTAGAGTCTGGTTGGGACGGCGGCCGTATGCGCTGCGCTATAGGGAATGCTTGCGGGAGAACCTGCGCAAAACGTTGTGATTTCGTGTTTTGCGCGTAGCGCCTGTTGCGAGTGAGTGTGTGTCTCAGCCTCGTGTGCGCAACCTCGAGCAAGACTTCTATAATATTTGGCCCAGGGACATCCTGGTTCTTGTGTCACGTAATGTTTGCATAGTCCGTTGAAGCCTGGACCATGGTCTTGGATAGCGTACAACAACTTTCGGACGACGAACCTGAGCAGAAGGGCGTAGCTCCAAATGCCGCGCCAGCCACAGGGAATGAGAACCCTCCAAGTTCAGCGCCAGCCAACCATGGCACCAGCACGGGTGAGAACAAACGGAAAGAAGTAGGTTCTGAACCAAAGCGGAAGGCAGAAAAGAAGAAGGATGGGAACAAGAAGGATGACCAGCCTGGGAAGGATGACCAGCCTGGCAAGCCCAAGAGTAAGGCAAAACCAAAAGGTAAAGCCAAGGCAGAAAAAACCGAGCATGATCAGCCTGATCATGAAGACCCTGCTGCAAATGAGATTGCAGAGCCAGACCTTAAGCAGAAGCCAGCGGGAAAGAACACCGCCATGAAGAGACCCGCAGCAGCATCAGAACCCGTTCGCGCCTACAAGTACATGTACACTAAGCCTGAGAACCGTTGCGGCATTTGGGGCTTAAAAGTGCGGGGATCTGAGATCCTCAGGGTGGGCGGGTGTCGTCCAGTTCAACGCGTTCTTATAGGCTACAATATATAAATAAACAATTATATATAATTTAGACACTAGCCGAAATGAACTGAATGAACCACACCACACACCCTGCAGGTGAAGCCTCGGACAGGAGTCGCCCCCGAGAAAATTGAAGAAATTGCAGAAATTTTGCTGCAATCATTTTGTTTGCGTCAACAAAATTCTAGTACGCCAATAGTTTTGAGTTCAACCCAGGAAGCGGCTTGTATGGAACTCGAGAAAGGTATGACAACCAGCACTGTGGAAGGTTTGATTGCATCTGGGATTGACAATCGGTGCATTTTCCATTTAGATTGAACTCCTTAATTATGACGCTTTCCTTTGGGCCAATCCAACTTCATATGTTCCTGTCAAAGACTTCTGATGTTTTCCTCGCTTGATGCGTTTGGGTTCCATCTTAGGAATCCATGTTGGCAGCAGCGCAGGAGGCATCTGCTAAATCGGCAGCTGCTTCTTCTGCTGGTGATGGGCCAGTGGCCGATGGCAAGGGTGATGAGGTGAATGAAGAAGGTGAAGGTGATGAGTCGGAAACTCCGACGGATGACAAGAATGTCGATTAGCGGTTCTAAATGCTGACTGGTTTCTGGGTTGCTTACTGTTCACCTCCCAGGTGTTGGTAATATACATTTTTAGGTGGAAGGTTGTGTGTCAGTTGCTTCCTTTCCTGGTTGAAACCCAGAGCCAGGTTTTAGGTTTATGCTGTCTCACCAGCGTTCGAATTCCGCAAGGCCGTTGTTTCTCTTGAAACGGTCGGAGCGAACCAACCATGGCAACCAAACGGTGAAACTTTTTTCAGGTGAGTCACAGCAACCGCCGTGATCAGTAGAAACGCGCACCAAAAAACAACCAAACAACTCCTGCGCAAGGCAGCGGCTGGCTGTATTTCAAAACAAATACTTTAATACGCGGGCCTTTTTAGCGCACGCGTGGCACACAACACGTGTGCTTAAGAACAGCGACGTAAACAAGAACTCGGAAAGGAAGGGCGGGGACACAATCTGGAAACAGTTTTTTATGGACAGATAAAAGTAATATATATATTTTTTTTGTTAATTAATATATATATATATATGTGTAATTATCTATTAATTCTGTATTGTATA